ATCTCTTTTACCACTACTCCTCTTCCCCGACACCTCACCTGTCTGAATATGTGGTGGACATTTCCCCAGCCATAAAACATAGGCAAAACTGTTACTTTCAACAATATCCACCGGAAATGCCTGCCTTCCTATCAGACCAGACAACATGCAGGCCAGAATAAAATAAAATCTAAGACCGTGTTTACCAAATCCTTTAGAAACTTTTTTCACTTGTACCATCATATGAAGTTACACACACACACTATATATATATATATATATATATATATATATATATATATATATATATATATAATGATGGATTCTACCGTTGTTTTCGACGTCGAGGATTCGACAACCTCCTTCAGTTTTTATGCTTGTTGTCGTATGTGACACTTCAGTCCCGCTAGTGATCTGCATAAAAGTCTACATAATGTGCAACAGCGAGGATCTCCGGACACAGCCACAGGAATGTTTGTTGACGCTTTTCTCTATCTTTTGTCTATTAGCCGGTCAATACGACTGATTTTAGAAATTTCTGATACAACTCTGGCAAAAATATCTCCATTTATTTCTATCCAGGACAACTCGCTCGAAGTTAGTATGAGGCAGATTGACAGCAAAGAGGTTACTCTTCAGTATGTCTTTATATCTGAGCCACGACCGTCCAAGTGTCCTTTGTCCTCTGTCCAACTGGCTATATATGAGGACCTTGGGTATTCTGTCGTCACTCGTATATATAATTATAAAGTAGTAGTCATACAAAGAATAAATCTGTAAATATAATTAATGGCGAATTCACTGATGATGAAAGGCTTCATGGAAAGTACTTGCAAATGGAACAACTAATCCATTTTCGATTTTTTAAAAACGAAGATCGCGTCATTCAACGAATGGTTAGCAAGTTAATGCTTTATTAAATGTTAGCAAAGTGAATTCGCCATTAATTACATTAACTTTGATTTATTCTTTGTATGACTATAATATTAATTATACTCCACCGTTCAAAATATATATCATTTCATTATAATACTATTCCTTCTTATCCAATATCTGCACAAATTCTCTTATTATAAGACACGAGGTTGAAGCCCTTTATTATAATAATCAAGCATTTTCCAACAATATGCCGTACTTGTATAGTAAAATAAAATTCAATAAAAATCACTGAAATATGCATTAGCTCATTTCTCACTGTTTCATACAGAACCCGAGGATCCCGGGGAACACCGGTTGAGAAACACTGGGCTGGATAATGTAGGGACCCGTGGATTCATGTTAACACAATTCCGAGGGCAAATATGAATAGCGAAAGATGTCTTCCAGAAACTAAGTAAAGTATTAAGAGAAAGTAACAAATCACTCGACCAAGTAGTGAATACTATTTCCAATATGGTAATAAGTGCTAGGCAATCTCCTCCCTGATTAATGGTAATATTAGACGTTTCCCTCTGAGGAAATATTGGTCACTAGCAGTAGAGCCCGTCGTTGCCCGGGGATGTAACAGTAAGAGATAGATCAAGTATCGACCTTCATAAAGATTGAAAAATAAAATTGACAAAGATTATTGTTTAAAGTTGATGGACGCGCATGTCTTAATTAGTTTTTTTTTTTTTTTTTTTACGTATTGGTCAACAAAAACATTGTTTTCAATCGTTATGAGTCTACCGATTGAATAGAATTTTATTATAAACAATTGTCTTGTAAATGGAATTTTTAAACCATTCTGAATGTAAAAATAAAGAAAAAAGTGTGCAAGACAATAAGAAACACTACCTGCCAAAAAAAAGTGAAATTTTGTTGAAATCGGTTGAAAAATGTAGGAAAGCCGATCCCATATATAAACGAACACACACACTCACAAACAACCTGGGTTTTATAATAAGTATAACTCGATATGAGTTGTCCCCCTTTCATTCTGGCGACTTAATCGTGTTTTCAAATTGATTTCGTGCAAAAACAATTGTTTTTTCCAATTTTTGGTGCTGTCAGAACCACCGCAAGGTAATTTTACGTAGTCCTGTGAAGTTTTGTTGAAATCGGTTGAAAAATGTAGGAAATCCTATCCAATATATAAACACACACACACACACACACACACACACACACACAATAACTATGATTTATTGACCGAGCAGCCAGTACTGCATTCGACTGAAATTCATAAAATCTTTATCTCGCCTAATTTTTCAGGAAAATAGGTTTTCCAATTCCAGTAGCTGTTATTGTTATTTTCGCGAGTAACATGTGATATCTATTTTAGTTGTTGTTGTTGGTCGTCTGTTATTTGGTACGGTTCTTTGAACATCGTGATTCTGTAGCGCCTGTCCTCAAACAAAGAAGGATGATCTTTGTCAAGACACTCGGGCTCCATTCGTTGAGTCAGTTTTTTTTATAACCATTGATCTTTAAAAAGAGACTTGAAACACCACATCTGGTTCTAATTATGAATAGTCAGAATATCATAAAAGGAAAACTGATTTTAAACATTCGCTGCCTTGTGGTCAAACCCAATTACGGGAAAGTTTATGAATAAACTCTGAGGGCAAATCGACAGTGCGTCCTGGGTATGACGTTAAACTGCATCCAACAGCAAGGTCTCTGATCAGGAGGTTTTGAGGAGCGTGGAACCACCTCTTAATTGCTGGTGTTCCCAGGTCCACCCTGGCCCGGAATGGTAGCACCTGTCCGGGTCCCAGCTATGGGCAAATAGTGAACTCCTAGTTTTTTCCAGATCTTACACGCGTCCTGGGTATGACGATAAACTACATCCGCGTCCTGGGTATGACGATAAACTACATCCGCGTCCTGGGTATGACGATAAACTACATCCGCGTCCTGGGTATGACGATAAACTACATCCGCGTCCTGGGTATGACGATAAACTACATCCGCGTCCTGGGTATGACGATAAATTACGTCCAACAGCAAGGCCTCAGATAATGTTTTCGGAAAAATAATGTTGCCAGCTATACGTTTCTGGAAAAATAATGTTGCCAGCTATACGTTTTTGAAAAAATAATGTTGCAAATTAAGCGTTTCTGAAGGAGTAATGTTGCCAGCTATACGTTTAATAGTACTATATATATGTGTGTGTGACTTAATTTGGCATTAAATGACCTACAGTGGTTGATATGCCATAAAACCCAACCAACCAAATCGACAGTCCCTAAGACAGTCCGATATTCCAACTTTGTTCCAGCAACTCCTGCGACGACGCTGGTACCAAGCTGTATTGGACTCTACTCTGCCTTTCCCTTGGATATCATCGGTGATGTGGAGAAGAGGGAGACCTACTGCAAGGGCAACCACCAATTTTTCATAAAACCCTACCTATACCTGCGACGGCAAAAAACAGGAGGCAACAGTTTACTGATGCCAGGATTCTGAACGTCCTTCTGTACGGGGAATTGGCAAGAGAGCACGTGGGCTACTTCATCTTCGCTACAAGGACGTATGCAAAAGGGACATAAGAGCGATGGACATCGACAGCTGGGAAGACGTCGCTGGAGACGCGATGTACACCAAGGGTTGGTGCGAGTAGAAAATAAACGGAGATTTGCCGCCGGTGAGAAGCATACTCGAAGGAAAGAAAACATGATATTGGGAGAGGGCGTCTTCATATGCATTCGTTGAGATACTCACTCCTGTATGGACCTGTACAGGCATAACAGATGTCGATTCGATATCAGCAGCTGAGGCATAACTCTTTGGTCGCAGATCCATGGTCTCTTGAGACTAACGCATGCCACATGGACAAAACATGTGACTAACAAACCAGTCTTAAGGAAAATAGGAACAAGGTTACTTTATAATTAGGAAAAGAGTGGGAATTTCTTTGGCGTATGAGAAAAGTTGACCAGAGAATTTGAAACTCACGGCACAAAGATAATAGAAAGGCTTAAATAGGAAATGACCTATTTAACGAGTTTGAGTCAATGGCAGAAAAGGGACAACCACTGACAGTAAAGAGTATTAAATTCTTTTTAAAGCAACAAGCAGCAGGAAATTTTAGATCGAAAAAAAAAGAAGTCCATCATGCAAATTACAAAATCAAACAAGTACAAGACTTAAAATATCTGGGAAGTGTTTTAACAGCGGATGGAATGTGCGATACGGAAATCCGAAGACGTGTTGGGATAGCTAAAGATTCATTCGAAAAATTAAGCAGAGTATGTAAGAAACGGAAAGATCTTCGCGTTAGAAACAAAGGAAAGTGTACTGAACTATTACGTGATATCCGTCCTCCTATATGGCAGTGAATGCTGGACAATCTTCTGAAAGATGAAGAGACTTGAAGCAACAAAAATGTGTTTCTACAGAAGGATGCTGAGTATACCATGGACCGAATATTTGAGCAACATTTTTGAGAAAATGAAAATAAAAAGGAAAGTTTATACTCCACATCGGGAAGAGGGAGTTGAAATTTTATAGGGCACATAATGAGGAAAGGGAGCATGGAAAATTTGATACTCACAGGACAGATTGAAGGCAAGAGGGACAAACGAAAACAAGCATAGTGAGATTGAGTAAATGGATGGCGGAACAGTTTAAGAGAAATAGCAAAAAGACAATTTATTAAGACCGACATGGACAGGAAATAGTGGAGAGCCATGATCACCTACGTCCTGGGGAAAAGTTTATTGAAGATGATCACAAATGTTCTAAATATTTGCATTCAAGACTCTATTTATTTAAAAATAGGAGGAAAAGGTATTTGATCAAAAATGTTTTCAAACTAAAAAGAACGAGAATATAAAATTAATACTAGCGCTATTAAAATACAAAAACTTCACTTAAAAAAAAACAAAAAAACATATGTAGACGTACGTACTGATGAAACCGTATGTTTTCTTGGATCAATTGAAGACTTTTTTGAAAAAAAATGTCCGTTTGACAGGAAGTGACGTAATCATGGCGGCTGTCTGTATTGAAAGTGACAGAATGTGTCATTTTTCTGAGGACTTATGTTCGTTCGTGCATGAGTAGATGTTTCGGTTTTGATTGTGTATCACAGCGATATGCTTAAGTATATATCTTAGCCCACGTCACGTTGAGAGGAAACTACTGCAACATCACCAGATCTCCACAGTAAATACAGGCTAAACACATTAGAGGAACTCCCTTCCTTTCTCTCTCTATTTTTCTCTCTTTCTCTCTCTCCTTCTTTCTCTTTCTCTCTCTCCTTCTTTCTCTTTCTCTCTCTCCTTCTTTCTCTTTCTCTCTCTCCTTCTTTCTCTTTCTCTCTCTCCTTCTTTCTCTTTCTCTCTCTCCTTCTTTCTCTTTCTCTCTCTCCTTCTTTCTCTTTCTTTCTCTCCTTCGTTCTCTTTCTTTCTCTCCTTCGTTCTCTTTTCTCTCTCTGAAAATAAAAAATTTTTTCTCTCTCTCCTTCTTCTCTGTCTTTTTTTCTCTCTCTTTTTTTCTTGTTTTTTTTTTTCTTCTTTTTTTTTCTCTCTGTCTTTTTTTCTCTCTTCTTTTTTCTCTCTTTGTTTTTTTTTTTCTGTCTTTTTTTTTTTCTCTCTGTCTTTTTTCTCTCTGTCTTTTTTTCTCTCTGTCTTTTTTTTTTTTTTTTTCTCTCTTTCTTTTTTTTTTTTTCTCTCTGTCTTTTTTTTCTCTCTGTCTTTTTTCTCTTTTTTTTTTTCTCTTTTTCTTTTTTTTCTCTCTGTCTTTTTTTTTCTCTGTCTTTTTCTGTTTTTCTTTTTTTTCTCTTTTGTTTTTTTTTTTTTTTTTTTCTCTCTCTTTTTTTTTTTCTCTCTGTTTTTTTTCTCTCTCTGTTTTTTTTCTCTCTGTTTTTTTTCTCTGTCTCGAATTTTGTCTTTTTTCTCTCTGTCTTTTTCTCTCTTTTTTTCTCTCTTTTTCTCTTTTTTTCTCTCTGTCTTTTTTTTTCTCTTTTTTCTCTGTTTTTTTCTCTCTTTTTTTCTCTCTGTCTTTTTTTCTCTCTTTCTTTTTTTTTCTCTCTTTTTTTTTCTCTCTGTCTTTTTTTTTTTTTTTTTTTTTCTCTCTGTTTTTTTTTTTTTTTTTTTTCTCTGTCTTTTTTTCTCTCTGTTTTTTTTTCTCTCTGTCTTTTTTTTCTCTGTCTTTTTTTTTCTTCTTTTTTTTTTTTTCTTTTTTGTCTTTTTTTTCTCTCTGTCTTTTTTTTCTCTCTGTCTTTTTTTTCTCTCTGTCTTTTTTTTCTCTCTGTCTTTTTTTTCTCTCTGTCTTTTTTTTCTCTCTGTCTTTTTTTTCTCTCTGTCTTTTTTTTCTCTCTGTCTTTTTTTTCTCTCTGTCTTTTTTTTCTCTCTGTCTTTTTTTTCTCTCTGTCTTTTTTTTCTCTCTGTCTTTTTTTTCTCTCTGTCTTTTTTTTCTCTCTGTCTTTTTTTTCTCTCTGTCTTTTTTTTCTCTCTTTTTTCTCTTTTTTTTTCTCTCTCTTTTTTTTTTCTCTCTGTCTTTTTTTCTCTGATTCTTTTTTTTCTCTGTCTTTTTTTCTCTCTGTCTTTTTTTCTCTCTGTCTTTTTTTTTCTCTCTGTTTTTTTTTTCTGTTTTTTTTCTCTGTCTTTTTTTTTTTCTTTTTTTCTTGTTTTTTTTTCTCTGTCTTTTTTCTTGTCTTTTTTTTCTCTCTCTGTCTTTTTTTTTCTCTCTTTTTTTTCTCTCTGTCTGTTTTTTTTCTCTGTCTTTTTTCTCTCTGTCTTCTTCTTTTTTTTATTTCTTTTTTTTCTCTCTGTCGTCTCTGTCTTTTTTAAAAATGGCGACCATTTTAAAATCTGTTTTTTTAAGCCAGGCTGAGCCATCTCTGTCTTTTTTTTTTATTTCTCCTTTGGTCTTTTTTTTCTCTGTCTTTTTTGTTTTTCGACATTCACTGGCGTTATCTTTTTATTTATTGCAAATAAAAATCAAACATTAAAAATATGAACGATAAGGCCGACAGAGGAAGCTATAAAGCTTAAATTATTGTCTTGTATCATTTATTTATGACGTAATAAATTGGATTTTTCCTTTTTTAATCCTTAAAAATGATTAATCTCTCTTGTCTCTCACTGGTAAATACCAACTGGAGATCATCTTTAAACGTTCAAAAGAAAAACAACGATAAATGTAATGAAGTGAATGAAATTCTCAAAGTATCGCAAACAATCAACTTCGAACAGAACGAAAACAATATTTAGATAAAGTGATCTATATCAGCAGCAGCCATTATAAATTATCAGACTTTCTAATATCCTTCCATGACTATAGTGACTGCGCTGTTCTCTGCTATTTCTTACTGCCAGACACTTCTTTTTATATATCAATCTTTTTCCGCTCTTTTCATAAAACGTTTGCTACTAAATGACCTTCAATCAAGCAACCTTTTTGGTTCATAATTTGTGTCCACAACCTATAATCTTATTTAATAATTACTATATCATTTATACTGGTCGTTCCCTACAGAGAATGGTGTATAGATAATTTCATTCTTTATGAATAAATAGATTTTCAGATGTATATATTAGTTAGGTAAATAAAATCTCCAAGTTTTACTGAAGTATCCAAACAGATTCTTACACACCTCATGTAAATTGGGAATTCGTTGCCCAAACGAAACCATTTTCCGGTAGGGGGAGCATTGCAACCTGTGTCTATTAGAAAAAAAAACATCCTCAATAATATTAACAATGATAGTCTGCTTAATAAACGGAACGAGCTAATGATAGCCTGTAATCACAGAAAAATGTTTCTCTTAAAATACTGAAAGCCAGGTTAAATTCTACATTTTTTTTTCATTTTTTTTATTAAATTTAAAATTTTTCTTTTAAGCCTTAGGTTTCATACCGTTTATCTCCCTTTGACCTGGAAAACGTTATCAGAAACAGAGCAGCGTCTCCAATAGTAATTTGAAATTTGAAATTAAATTTTTCTTTTTTCTTTTATTTTCTTTTAATTTCATATTTTTTTTTTTTTTTTTTTAACACTATCTGCCTCTTTTTCTAATATTTTATTTTTTGGCCATAAACAGCTTTTCTCCCATATGACATCTGTGTGTGTGATTAAATTGACTATACTATATACCCAAATACATATTTAAAGAAAAAATAAAAAATTTCAGCATCTCCTCTTCATATCAACATAAACATCACGAGTTCAAAGTCCGTAAGATTGGAACGTGCTGCCCGAAAATATAGTTCGTTTTGTCATATTTTTCCTATAATAAATTGATAAGAAATAGTTAATATAAGTAATTATTTTAATTCTACAGTAATAAATAACAATTTTTTCATCAGTCTCCCCTCTCCCGAATTTTAAAAATGCATTAGGCTGTAAATTAAGTGGTAAAGGCTAAAATTGAACTATTCTTATACGGTCTGCACGTTGACCTGTTCAGCCTGAGCCTGCCTGCAACGGGAATAAAAATCTTCGATGAAGTCAAGCCACAATTATGATTTAGCCTTCTCTTCAAGAGACTCTGCTTTTATCAAAGATCTGAACGGAAGAAAATTACAAAGGAAAACCTACGATTAGTCTCCTAGTCGCATTGGTTGACCATTGCCTATAAAAGCATAGATTTTAGGTTGAAGTCGGTCACATTAAATCTTCGATAACGCCATTGACCGAGGAAAGAAATCCCTTTTTTTTTCCTGTACTTCAACATCGTTTGCTAAAACTGAAATCAAACACCTTGTTATTTCACTCATAGCATCGAGCAGACAAAACGTCATATATATATATATATATATATATATATATATATATATATTTACTCAAAATAAACAACCCATAAAGCAGTTAATGATATAACAGTATCAGCAATCGCTATCACTTGACTTAAAATATTTTTGCCCTTCCTTGCCTTTAAAGGAGTGCATTCTTTTGCCGTGCTGATGTTGCTACATGCCTTACTCCTTGCCTATCTCACACTGCGAATTTTTCTAAGCTCTATACTAAACATTAAATCTGTTACGAAAAAGAACTAAACAAAATGAACACAAAACGATCAGCTTTAAAAAAGGACTCGTAACTGTAAAAACTGAATGAAAAAAAGAATGTTAACAACAAATACTTTTTCACACCCAACCCAGTTCTGCGGAATCAGAATATATATATATATTATATTATATATATTATATATATATATATATATATATATATATATATATATTATATATATATATATATATATATATATATATATATAAGGTGTAATCCTAATAATCCGATTTTTCTTGTGTTAGTTTAAGTGTTTTCTTTTCTGGACGTAGTATGTAAAAACTACCCGAATGCTCTATATATTCGTCCTCTTTCTATTCGCCATTATCAAGGATGTTATATATATATATATATATGTGTGTGTGTGTGTATTTAGGCAGCAGACCTTAATTCATGCACATTTCATTAAAAACGACAGACAAGGTGCTTTTATTTTGTTTTTTATACAATTTCTCATGCGATCTAAAGTTCCTTTTTATAGCCAGAATGGTACTATTTACACACAAACTGCGAGAGTAAGTATGGAAAAACCCTCTCGGGCTGTGCTTCTTCAATTATTATATGTCCTATGTTGAAAACAAGGTTTTTACTAAAGTTATTAAGCCTTAAATATATGTTCGTTATGTTGACGATATTTTTATTTTGGCTGAAAACAAGAAAGAAATAGAAAATCTGGAAGCTCCATTTCAACAAAATTCCGTCCTAAATTTTACTTATGGACTGAAAGAAAAAACTTCCTTTCTTAGATGTTCTCGTCGATTTTAGTAATAATACTTTTAAAAGTTCTGTTTATAAAAAAACAACTAGTGAAGGCTCTTGCCATCTTAATTTCTCTAGTGAATGCCCTCTTAGATATAAGACAGATGTTATTAAAAATTTCCTCACGAGAGCGCACGAGAACTCATCCCCTCGCACGCTTTTCTTTAAAGAATTAAATAATGTAAAGCAAACGCTGATTAATAACGGATTTCCCAATCAATTGTTGGATTTCCACATTAGACGTTTCTTGTCTAAGGTTGCTAATAGCAATGGCGAGAATAGAAACATAAACAATAATATTAATATTTTTTATAAAAATCAGATGAACTAAAATTATAAACAGGATGAATGCGGAATTAAGAACATTATAAAAAATGCATAACACCAGTTGACAATAGCAAAAAATTAGATTAATTATTATAAAAAATTTAAAACCTCTAACCTTATAGTTAAAAATAATAATTCACCTCCTAGAACAAAATTAAATAGGGCAAATATTATTTACGAATTCAAATGCCCATTAAGGAATTGTATTCCTGATAAATCAATTTTTGTAAGTAATTATATAGGCCACACTACAACATGTTTAACACGCAGACTAACTCTACACCTTTCTGACAATAACTCAATTAGATCTCATTTAAATGTTCATGGATACCTACCGGACACTATTCGGAACATACTTGTCGACAACTGTAATATAATAGCATCATCTACATGCAAAAAAAAAAAGGCTAAAAATAATTGAAGCTTTATTAATAAAAACAAACAAACAAACAACACTTAATATTATTAACTTTGAACATTGACATAATATCTTGACTTGACTGTGTTTTGAAACCAAAAAAATGAAAACATTTTATAAAACATACAACAAACTATTTCTGATTTTAACAGTTAAGATATAGTCCTTGAAAATGGCTAAATGTATAGCCGAAAGCGCTCGGATAAAAAGAACATTCGGACAGTTTTTATATAATTTATCATCTGAAAAGAAAAAAAAATTAGATAGCATGAGAAATTGTATACAAAACTAAATAAAAGCACCTTGTCTGTCGTTTTTAATGAAATGTGCATATATATATATATATATATATATGACACAGGAATATGTGCTAAAAAATTCTGTGTCCGATCCATTTCTCAAAATCTGATTACATGAAGCCTCAGATTTCTGTTTCTTGGTCAGGCCGAGAATTTTTCAGGACCCATTCGTATATACAGAAAAAGAGATCAGTCGATCTTTTAGTGAATCATTTTTTTGGTAAGTTCAGTACCTCTGCGTTATTTTGCATTCCTGAACGATTCTTGAACGTTAATGTCATCTGGAAAGTAACTGTCGATGTCATAATCTGTAAGCGCAAACAAATATCCGTTCGATGGTCCGTTTTAAGTGGGTAGGAATATATTTTTTTTGTTCTCCTTTTACTTAAATGTCAGTGGAAATGACAGAACTGACCTTTTTTTTTATTCTGTGAAACTCGTTTCAAAATCATTTGACAATGTCTGACAGCATTACTTACTGGCAGAACTGACCTACTAACATTGGGTTGGGGAGAAAGAAATAAGCAATCCTATTAGAAATATCTCCACACTTTACACTGTTCTGCGAATTCTGAGATATGATGTTCCTTGTAATACAGTCAAGAACTCAAATCATTTATACAGTTTCTTGTCAAGGGATGGAAGCTAGAAAATCTTACCCTCCATAAAATCATTTGCCCACACCTATGAGAACAA